CTTTAAACTTCTCAAGAACCCTAGGGAATAAATACTGTTATTAGTCATTATGTTTACAAATAAGTAAATGGAGGCAGAGTACACGTGAGATTTGCCCAAGGCTACCAAGAGTCAAGTGGCAGTGCCAGAATTAGAACCCAGAAATCCGAAGCCCAGCCTCCTACCCATTATGTCCTCCTGCCTCCTTCTAGGCTACTGTCATGACCTGGTCACTAGCAATTGTTGGCACTAGAAACGGCTACCAGAGGGAGAAGCAGGATCATCTGCTCTAGATAAAGTATGCGTGTTGCAGGCTTAGTGTTGGGGCTTAACATACACAAAGATGTATTCTGGAGGGTCCTATCTAAAATCTACACCCCCCCCCCCACACACACACACACATTTTGCTTCATCCATTTGTTGCCAACACATTCAAGTCCTGGGCAGGTGATCCTCAAAGATTTTGCTTTGCCTGCCTTGCTTTGATTTTTAACATCTCATTTTCTTGAGTCCAACCCAGGCCCAAATCGTTATCACTAAAAGTTGCATATCCTGCATTCTCCAGGTATTGTGCATTTCTAGCCAAATTCTTGGTATTCCACTGTGTATTTCTGACGTTTTCTGTTCATGCATCTACCCCACAAATCATCCAACCCCCACTCCACAGACCAATATACAGCATGTTTGTTGCACTAGCAACATTAAGGGCAAATTTTTTTTAAGATTTTATTTGAGAGAGAGGAGAGAGAGCGCACACATAAGAGCAAGCAAGCACACAGCAGCGGGGAGGAAGAGAGGCAGACTCTCTGCTGAACAGAGAGCCTGACTTGGGGCTCAATCCCAAGACTCCGAGATCATGACCCAAGCTGAAGGCAGTTGCTTAACCAACTAAGCCACCCAGACGCTATGGGCAGATTTCTTACATGCTGGAACCACAGGCTCATCTTTCTATCTGGGTACGGCAAAAATACACGTACATACATGTGGGTAATGAGCAGTCACTCCCTTTTCTTGCTCTCCTGGTGTTCTGTATGTGGGGGTGCGGGTGCATACAGGAGGAAGGATGGGGCAGGACATTCACCACCTGTTCCCCACTCCCAATGCCTGCCTGAGACAATCCTGGCTTTCATGAGCAGCCAGATGGACATCTTCGAGGCTGGAGGCAAATCACAGGCCTGCCCCTGCCCTCCTGGAGGACGAGGGCCAGGGCAGTGCCTCCCAGCCCACGGCATCATCTTGAAGCGGGCACCACAGTCAGGCAAGCCGGGAAGAGGCAAGGCTCACACGCTGATGGACCTGGACCACACAGGGGCCTGGGGATGGCAGCCGGTCTAAGGGTCCAGGGTTGACTGGAAGCCAAAGGCTGAGGCATCAGGGAGATTTCAGTCCGGGGCAGAATGCACGGGGTCAGTATGCCGGGGATCAGGTCGTCAGCAGCGTGATGGCACCCTTAGGGGACACTTTGTTCCGGGGTGTCTCACTGGTTATCACAGTAATAGGGAGCCTCTCTTTGGATGCAGAGGCCAGCCCCCACACTGCAAAGGCCCGTCTCATTCACAAGCCTTCTAGGGTCTTATTTGTCCTTCCTGTAGGGATGAAAAATGCTTATAACCATTTGAGCCTGGAGCTCAACTCTATTTGACACAAATATTTTTTTAGACATACCCTGTACTTTCCAGGAACACAACTAAACTTGAGGGGAGAGGGTACTTTGTTTTGCTGGTTAACTTAACAAAAATCCCATCTCCAGCAGCCCTGCCACAGGCGTCGGAAACCCAGCCTGTCACTCTCCCTGCAGGCCTCTTGCAGGAACAAGATTGAACCTCCCGGTCATCTCTTCCAGGGTAGTCACGCCCAGACCTTTATGTAAAACACACCTGAGTTCAATACATGTTGCCTTCCTTTTGTTTATATTTCAGTTAGTCTTTTTTTTTTTTTTAATTACATGTTGGTAAATGATACGATCTCTCTTTTCAGGATAGTAAAATCTATAAAAAGAAAAGGTTAGGACTGTTCCAGTTGAGCTCAAGATGCTAGAGAAAGCCGTAGGGTCCCTGCTGCCCTACGTGTGTGGCCCCCGGGCAGCGCGAGAGCAGGAAGGCAGCCGGGCAGCCTGGAAAGGGTGCCCTGGACCGGAGGGACAGGAAGAGGTCCCATTCCAGGTGCAGACGGCTGCAGTGTTGGTCACACGTGGGGACCCCGGTGCCCAGGGAGCCTGTGCATGGAGGAGGCACGTGAAGCAGTCACACGGTCAAGGGTGTGGTCCAGGGTAGGTGCCAGATGCAGCTGAAGGACAGGGACAGAAGAGGGAGAGTCAGGTGTCCTTGGGTAGGAAGTTTTCCAGACTCGGGAGATGAGCTAAGAGCCAGGCAGGGGACTGATGTGGGACAGAGAACCACAGGGCTCGAGGGTTATTTTAACTGGAAGTACCTTCCCCAGCTCCTTCTATGTGCCTTGGTATCTTTTTTTTTAAGGTTTGTTTAGATTATGAGCTACTTCATCTTTAAAATGAAGGTGTGGTCAATGAGATTTGAAGATGTCAGGCTCCCACGTGCGGAGACCCAGAGAGATTGCAGCTTTCTCAAAACAGCAGAACGAACCCTTGGTAGCTACAATTGCAGAGTTCAGGCTGAAATCTCCGCTGTAAGGGCTCTCCTAAATGACCCACAGGCCGGTGGTTCTCAAACTGCAGGCTGCCTTCCATTAGTTAGCCAGGTAATCAATTTAGTGGTCAAGTTCAGGTTTTAAATTAAACAGGAGAGGGATCCCTGGGTGGTGCAGCGGTTTGGCGCCTGCCTTTGGCTCAGGGCGCGATCCTGGAGACCCGGGATCAAATCCCACGTCGGGCTCCCGGTGCATGGAGCCTGCTTCTCCCTCTGCCTGTGTCTTTGCCCACCCCACCCCCCCCCTCTCTCTATCATAAATTAAAAAAAAAATTAAATAGAAGAAACAAATTTAAAAATATCGGTGCCTGTCACAATGTTTATTGCCATTATGTAACTTCCCTTCGGGCGTCAGTTCCCACCCTTGACAGGTGAGAAGCAGCCGTGGTGCAGGCAGCACCCGGACCACGGAAGCCAAACTCCGAGAGGAGTCACTCTGCATCGTCAGTTCTCACCTCCCCGAAGGTACAGGAGGTGACCCGCTGGCCTCGCCCTTGCACACGTCCCCTCTCCACTTTGCTATAGTCAGCATTTACAGAGCACCGCTCTCAGCACCTACTGCTAACTTGCTGCATCCTCACTGCATTCAAGTGAGTGCCATCACCCTTATTTTATAGGTGAGGAAGCTAGGCCACAAGAGGTTAAGCTGCTCAGCCAGTGCCACACAGCATGTGGGAGCTGGGGCTGGGGCTCATCCCTGCCACGCTGGACTTCAGGTCTGAGAACTCTCTTCCTGGACAGACGGTGGTGCAGCGTCTCCCTGCATGGCCCCTGGCCAACCAGCCCTGCGGAGCCATTCTAGCAGCAGCCCGGAGGAGTCCCGTCCTTGGGAGGGGAGCCAGGTCCCTGCAGGCCTCCCAATCCCCATGCAGCAGTGAGCCAGGGCCCCTGGAGCGCAGCCCTGCCCTCTGCACCCAATGGCCCCGTTCCCGAGTATGTTCAAACTGCACCTCTTCCAAAGGGACATCGGCATGTGACACCCCGAAGTATCACAGCCATCATCCTATCCTGGCAAGCCTAGCTCACCACTATCTGCCATTAGATTATAAATATTTGTTTATGAACTGTCACTCCAACCAGAAGGAAGTACCAAAAGGACAAATGTTTTGTCCATGTGCTGCTGTACCTCTAGCTCCTAACAGCCATGACATTTAAGAGAAACCCCAGGAATATATGTTACTGAGTGAACAAGTGTTTGGAGGGAAGAATCTGCATAAAACCAAAACCAAAACTCAATCCCCTTCCTCTCAGATATAGCACGACTCTTGCCATCTGTTCTTTCAATGGGGCAACCACTCTGGTTCACCCATAATCAACAACTAGCATGGTGGGAGGAGTCTGGAGTCTTCAAAGGTTCAGGAGAAGAAAAAAAAGGCTCTCTCAGCTGGAAAGAAAGTTTCTTTGAGCAAGTTCACCAAGACTTTGAGGGGGCTCCACAGCACTCCCCGTCCGGGTGCTCACTCTGCTTTCTGTGCTGCTTGCCCCTGTGGGAATCTCTGGAACCTCAGGCTCGATGTGCCCACTGGGAAATGAAATGCTTTCAAGCACTCTCTTTAGCCTGACTTGAGGACTTGGTACACATCAAATTTTCCAGAGTGGACAGATGGAAGATGTGAGCTCTTTCTGCCCAAGGGCTCTTGTTCATCTGCGCTGTGATGAAGAAGCGGGACACACTGACCTAAGAGCACCGGAGAGCTGTGAGTGGCACGGTGCTGCAAGTACGGGGTGCCACTGTTGGAGGAGGCAGGAGAGGTGAAGGAGGTAGAAACAAATGGGCCCGATGAGGTGTCCTGTTCAACACCACCCTGTCCCAGAATGCCTAGAAACTGACCTCTAGGACCTGGCGCCTGCCGAGAAGGGAGAAAAGATCCACAGAGCCCCTGCCCATTGGAAGTGGCAAGAATTCGTGTTCGTGAACATGCTCTCACCTGACAAAGAATGGAGAGGATGCGCCCCGTTGGCCAAGGAAGCACATGTGGGAACTCTGTAACAGGAGAAGGCAGAGAGGGCTGGAAGGCCGCTTTTGGTAACTCAGGGAAAATGTAACTGAGAAGGGGGTATCTTCAAATGCTCCCTAGTGGGTCTGTATTCCTTACTTTGCCTACTTCTGGGTAGGACTGGGGTCAGCTCTGTGAGGACCCAGTGGTCCACAGCAGTAAAAGAGGTTCTAGACTCTTCTGGAGAGAAGACCCATATGCTTGCTGAGGCCAGCTTAGCAGGAAGGGCGGTCCACCCCACGTCCTGATGACGGGTGACACTTGGAGGGAACAGCTTGCCAAACACCCTCAACTACTCATCACATATGTTCTCCCCTTAGAAAACACCCATCAGATGGCAGGAAACGGGAAACACGGCAAATAAATTCAGAGGTTTTATTCTGTAAAGCACATATGCACATATTTCAAACACAGAAAATTAATCTGGGAGTGAATGCCATAACAGATCAGCTACTGACCATCATGCAGCAAGGTAAGTGAGGTGGGTCCGCTGGCCCTCGTAACCCCACAGTGCCTGCAGGAGGGTTGAAAACCAGGATGCTGAATCCCTACATACTGCCAAAGAAAATGCAACCGAAATGCAGGCGCCTACTAACGAGAAAAACTTACAAATAGAATCAAAACTGATTCAAGTCATACAGTGAAAGGACAAAAGGAAAAAGGAAAGAGATCAATATGATCTGAAACAACCATTTAATAGTAAGTTGCTAACCTTTTATTGGACCTCCAGTCCAAGATGCCTGAGGACGCGCCAGGGGGTCCTGTGCAGGGTCACTCGGAATGGCACATGGGCCCCAGATGGGATGCTTTTCTTATCCCGAGGTCCCCGAGCAGGATGTGGCAGAGGACGGGGCCTTGTCTGCAAGTGCCCGGATGTGAACAGGACTCTGGACTTCCTGAGATTCCACAGGAGTCTCTTCAGTTCCTAGACCTCTTCACTCATGTCCATGGCCACCATCCTTTATACGCCTGCCTGACTCTGGGTTTCCATAAAGATCTTTGAGAATTACCTGCTAGACTGAATGCTGGATCTTAAAGTGTGTATCCTGGCCTCATGACAAGTCATACTGTCCAGGCATTTTTGGCACTTCCTTCCCTCATGCCTAACAGAGTCCTTCCTCCCCTGGCTACAGATTCCAGCTATTCCCTGTAATTAAAACAAGGGTAATTAATATTAGCAACAAGCTGGATTGAACAAACCAGTGAAATTGACTTTTGTCACCTTTCTCCTTCTCTGTTACTCTGCCAGTTATAAATCCATCCCTTTAACTCCACTTCACTGGGACTTTAATTCGGCAGCAGCTTAACCGAAAATCTGTTGGTCTTAATGATACTGATGTTTCTAAAGGCCAAGCTAAATTGCTTTTTCTCCATCTTGTCTCATAAAAGCCTCAAAGTCTCTAAAGAGAAAACTAAATGAACAGGTTAGCCACACATCATGTAAGCAACTCATTAAAAAACTGGAGAGACAAGTATGATTACTGTGCTTGAAATGTACCAAAATGAAAAAAGGGGGGGTTATTAACATATTAAGTTACTACAGTGATTATTTTAACAGTCTTCAGTGAGAGCCCACAACTGTTTTCCATTCACGAATGCCTGGGATCACATGTTCTAGGCCAACTGTCTCAGGCTGCAGGACTGATTCTAATTTGGAGCAGACTCCAGACCTGAAGTTGAAGGAGAGAAGTGCGGACAGTCACGTCCAAGGTTTTAATTGCGCTTCTGCTCTACAACATTGCTTGGGAGAACACAGAAGTCAGTAATGACAATGAATTATTAAGGCAAAGAGCTATTAGGAAAAAATATAGTAACAAGAAAGAACTAGAAAAGATAATGTAGTTTGCTTTTTTTTTTTTACATGGATTAGAAGGAAAAAGGGATAAAGGATCTAGATCATCCAAATGCCACAGGAAAGAAAAATGCTTTTGGTTTTCCTCAAACATGGCAGATCAGAACTGCTTTCCTTCCAATTTCACAGGCACCGTTTCATGTTACTGATCTGCCAGTTGCCCGTGTCCTTCTGGAGATATGTTCATTGCATAAAAATATATGCAAAAAGTAAAAGGAAGAAAGAAAATCCACTCCCTCTTCAAAAAAGACAAGAAACTCTGCACAAGTATTAAACTAAGTCATCTTTCTGTTTCCATTCTGCCGTCTGCATTCCAGAAAACAGAACAGCTAATTTCTACTCTACTCAAGAGCCATTTACTTAATTTTTAAGCTCTTTGGAGTGAGGGTGCTGCTTTAACTTTTATAACAGAGGGAAGGGACAGAGAGAAAAGACAGTGAACATCCTGTCCCAACTCAACTCAGACAAGACCAGGTTCCTCACCATCCATGTGGAAAATGAAACTTAGATCTTTACTGTGTAGGTGATTTTCAATAGTTAACTTTTTACTCAAGATAAAAGCACAAGTCTGTCCTAACTAGAGTAGTATTAAAATGTGACTATTTTACTTTTCTTCTCAAAGAAAAAAACAAAACAAAAAACTAAGAAAGATAGGCATGTTTCCTTGCAAGCAAAACGGAGAAAAAGGGATTATTGTTGTTACCATGATTATTAAAGCCACAGACACATAAAATCCACAAAATGGATTGGTGGCTTTGGAAATGCAATATCACATCAAAGGTGCAGACTGTTTTGAACATTCTGTACATATCGGGCTGAAACAAGAACCAAAGCAAACCTCAACCCCGCCCAGCAATGAAATGCCCCTGTGACCTTAGTGAAGACGGCATGGTCTGCTCCGCAGCAGGGAGATCACAATCCTTGCTGGCGCTGTGCAAGATCATCACACCAAGTCCACAGGTGAGGCTGAAGGGTTCTGGCTGCACCCAGTGCGAAGCACGTGCATCATTGGACCAATTTCTGAATAGATTTTTATAAATATATACAAATCAGTTACAGGCACTTGAAATGTCTTTGGCTGGAATAACCCAACATTGCAAGATAATATATTCACAGAGTGTCCAGGCCCAGGCTGAGTTCAGCAGGCAATGATTATGGTTCTCTCAGTCTCTCTTAGAAAACAGGCAGTTGTGGGATTAGGCATCAGCCAAAGCCACCTAAGAGAGAACAAAATGAGCGATTTCATCACACAGCAAGGCCCAGGTAACTCAGCCCCACCAGCACCCTTACTAGGTTTGGGTCTCCAACCAAACAGCAGGGAGCCATACGGCATGCATCAATCGGGCAGAGGAATTACTAATCCTTGAGGAAACAATCCCGCTTAGCAGGGAATGAACATAAATCTCAAGTCTCCTGCAGGAAGCGGCCAATCTAGTGGAACCACCATGCTGAGACAGAGGTCACAGTTTTGGAACCATGGTCAGTTTTCTATGTGATGATTTCTCAAGCTGATAGAGGGGAAGCAGTCCTCGGGGTCCGCTGCTCTCCAATAGGACTTGGAGAACAATTCGCAGTCAGTACCTCAAACCAGCTAGGGCATGGGTGTGGCTCAAGGTCCAACACCATGATTTAGGCTGAGGGCAGACCCATTTTCTCTGGAGGAAAGGTCCCACCAGCAGTAAACAGAATGAGGACTAAGCAGGACTTGCTGTCTCCAGAGATGTCCAGCAAAAGCTGGGCCAGCCCCCTCCACGGCTCACCTTCTCAGGACAAAAGTCAGGATTGCTCTGACGCAATTTGCTGGGTCTGCCTTTGATAACCGCATAGCAAAACATTGTTATCACCATCACGAAGAGGAAGTAACTGGTGTGCATGAGATGCAAATTTATTAACGAACGGTCATCCTGAATAAAGAGAATAAACCAGACACATCTGCACTGAGTTACTGGAAGATTTTAATGCTAGGTTTCTAGAAACAAGGTTTCTCATAACCTCCAGACTTGCCTCAACATTAACTCTTAAACTGGAATGAGAGAGGTTTCTCTTTTGGTCTTCTCAACTATTAAAGCTGGATTGAAATCAAGAAGGCGTTCCTGGGACCACCCAGTCCTTCCTAACATGGCCCTCTGCCCTGGCTCCTGCATTCCCACTGCCCAAGAATACCCAGCCCCCGGGAAGCCCCAGATACCCCAGAGACCCAGAGGCTTTAACTCCTCCTACCTTTCTCTTCCATCCTTGCCCTCAGGTCACAAGGCTAACAGCCAAGCCTGTGTTCCTTCGCTACTCCTCCACCAAGAAGGCCTCTCCCCATGGGCAGCTTCCTTCCTTTGCCTTTCCCTCCTAGCTGACCTGCCACATGAGGTCAGTCACCAGGCCTGCCAGGCACTGCGTCTGGCATGCTTCCATTCCTTTTCCTTCACACACCTCCAGGCCTTGAAACATCAGCCTTGGGCTCCATCCCATAAACACATCATCAGGTAGGCAGCCCAGTCTTCCTAACACACTGCTTTACCACGACCATACAGCCCAAATGCAGAAAGTCTAAGCACCTCAGTGAGGAACAAATGGACTTCTGGGCCCTGGCATCTGCCCAGCATCCAGCCTGATCATTGTTCACTCCTGCAGGCTCCTAACCTACCAAATGCCACAACTTAATAGATGGAAGAAAAAAGAATCAGGCAAAAAGAAAAGAAATCTACCTAACATACTATCAGGAACAGAAGTAAGGACATTTACAAAAATCTGTGCAGTCTGTTAAAAGTGGGTTCAAGTCTAAGCAGGAAGCTAAATGAGCCCTTCAACTACTGGTCCAGATTATGGTGTCTTCTTCCTTATTAAGTAAAATCCTATCCAGTCCTCAGTATCTTTTTTTTTTTTTTTTAATTCATGAGACACAGAGAGAAGCAGAGACACACGCAGAGGGAGAAGCGGGCTCCCTGCAGGAAGTCCTATGTGGGACTCAATCCCAGATCCCAGGATTACGACCTGGGCCAAAGGGAGGCGCTAAACCATCGAACTACCCAGGCGTCCCTACCAGCCCTCAATATCTAACCAAAGACTCATCCCCTCTGATTTACTTCTACCTTTCTGAATTCCAAACTATTTACTGCTCATATTGGCATTAGCCAAATATTCCCCGAGTGTCTGTCCCAATGAGTAGATGGTGCGAGCATCCCTCGTGACCCTGATGAGTCAGGCACAGGATGGCTGCTTGACAAATATCACTACTGATGGCCAACACAGAAAATGAAGAACACAGGCAGAGTTTACTTAAACTAAAACGGTGGCATATTTTTCTAAGCCTCCACTACTCCACCTAGTCTCCTAGCCCAACTGGAAATCTAGCATGGCATGGGCTAAGCTAACACAAGGAAGTAAAGAGGACCTATACTAACAGTTCTCAGATACAGGAAGACAGACAAACAGACACACACACACACACTATTCTTCTCACTTACGTCTGGAACAATAACTGTAAGCTTGGGATTTAAAGCGTGATAGACTTTTCCAATGGCCCCCTTATAACACCAGAAAGGATTGTAATCTTGAGCGTATTTTGTGTTGGCATCTCTGGCAGTTGTGAAGATCTTGTACCAGAGCGTAGCGTTGCTGTAAGTGTCAGGAACACAGTGTGGTGGCTGTCTGCAGGGGAAGAGAAGAAAAGACTCACGCTCAGTGGCCTGAGACCTTACCTGGGTCTCCTCCACAGCCCTGGCGCAACACTGAGCACAGCCACAGGTGAGGAAAAGAGAAATCAGAGACATACATTTCCTTGAGATGAACACCATTATAGTTTTAGGTCAGATTTTTTTTTTCTTTAATGTAATAAATACGTTAACAGAATAAGAAATAGGCATCCACACCCATGGTTCCCTTGCCTATGATGTAGCCAAAGAGAGAATTCCTTTTAAGCCCATTTTTATAAATTATCTAAATTCTTAGTAACAACTGGAAGTTTTATATACAAACTTCTCCATCAGATATTATAACCTACAGCAAATAATATTTACCTTATTTGATCTTGTCCTACAAGTCTCTTAAGTGTCTAGAACAGATAAATCTCAGACTCTTTGTTTTTTTTTTTGAGAGAGTGACAGGGCAGCCTGGGTGGCTCAGCAGTTTAGCGCTGCCTTCGGCTCAGGGCGTGGTCCTGAGGACCCGGGATCAAGTCCCATGTCGGGCTCCCTGCATGGAGCCTGCTTCTCCCTCTGCCTGTGTCCTGTGTCTCTGCCTCTCTCTGTGTGTCTCTCATGAATAAATAAATAAAATCTAAAAAAAAAAAAAAAAAAAAGAGAGAGAGAGAGAGAGAGACAGAGCCCGCACATGTACATATGGGAAGGGGCAGAGAGAGAGGGAAAATCTCAAGCAGACTCCACGCCCAGTGCGGAGCCCTACGTGGGGCTTCATCTCATGACCCTGAGATCAAGACCTGAGCTGAAATCAAGAGCTGGATGCTCAACGAACTGAGCCACAAAGGTGCCCCCCAGGGTAATTATCATTATAGAATTAGTACCGTCCGGGACTTACATGTGAAGCTCTACCTTTAAGATTCTAAATTCAACTTAAGTAATCCATAGACAGGTCTGGCTATGAGAAATGTACAAAGTACTTTACTGCAAGCCATCCTGAGAACCTGCTGAAGCACCCCAGTCATAGTCATGGTAAATGGAGCTTCTGACATGCACCCGCTAGGCTAAGGAAAACACTTACACAGTGACAGGGAACACCCCAGGGTTGGCTGTGAGGGTCATGCAGGCAGTGAACACCACCTGCTCACAGTGGCCATGAAGCGCACAGTCATCTGAGCTCCAAGCTGTAGGCAGGGTAAAGGTAATGTTTATCTCCTCATGGGCTTCTCTGCCTATGAAAGAAATGTGGGGGAAGGGGTTGGTAAATAAAGGTAAGAACTCATGTATTTATTATACCCAGGATTTCAATGAATCCTGGAATCAAACCCACCCAGGACCCCCTATCAGCCCAAAGTGAGATGTTTGCCTTTGTGGGATTTCAGGAACAGGAGTTCTGAGTGGGACTCTGAGGCCTGCTCACCTGGGAGAGCCATAGTGTGGCAAACGGATGGGGTCCGCTGTTAGCCTGGACCTGAAGACGCAGGGCAACAAGGACCCACAGTGCCCAAGGTGGAAAGCTGGGGGCTGGGTGAGTTATTATCATTGCTATTTTAGCACTTGTACAGCACTCGTGCCTTTTCAAATTGTTTCTTATATGTATCATTTCACATAAAACGTACCACTATCCCACAAACATGACCAAAGAAGCATTACTGTTCCCCTTTCAGATAGGGGCAGACTAGAGGATCAGAGGGTCTAACAAGACTTTTCAGGTCAGGGAACGGGCGAGGGATGAAGAAGCTTCAACAAAAACCAAGATGCTCTAACACCACAGCAGAAGGAAAAGGTCCATCTGCTACCCAGAAGTCACCCTTGCCTCTTTCCTGTGGGAGCAAATCTCACCTGTAAAAGCCAGCAGGACACTGCCAGGCACTCCTAAGTTCCTCTACAAACTTTAAGAGGCTTTTGGTAACAAAGGACCAGAAATTATTCTTCAAGGTCCAAGGCTCCATATGAAGCCTTTCCTAATTACTGCAGCTTCCACTACTTTCTCAGCATTCTCTTGAATCACTGACAGTCTGTCATGGTCAGAGGGCACTACTGGTCAAACGGCAGTATTCAATGTTTAGATATTTATTTTGAACATTACTCAATTAACAAGCACTTAATGTAGAATTTCCTTTGTACCAGGAACTATTGTGTTTGATAAATTAACTCACATTATCCTTTTCTCTTCCATAATCTTAAAATTCTAATTGGACAGATCTTAGGCTTTCTTTATAGTTCTTCGCAGCAGCTAGCACAGTGCTGAGCTAATGTGGGCATTTAAAACTCTGTAGAACAGTAACAATATTTGTAGTATGTATTGAAAACTCCAAGATGAAAACCAGAATAAAAAATTTGTGTTTGTAAATATTAAACCAGAGCTAGGCCTTAAAGTCTCTTTTTAGTTGCTTTTACTGAGAACTTACTATATACAAAGCACTCTACGTGAAGATGTGGTAGACACAGAACGTTCCTTCTTGACTTCATGTAGTTCAAACTCAACAAAAAGGGAGCATGTAAAAGTAAAAATAATCTGATGAGTGAAAACCACATACTACTAATACTCTGCCTTCAAAAGAGTTGCTGCCAAAGAAAATCTGAAAGGAAAATGGCTCTACTCACATACCTGAAAGTCCAATCTGATGCCCTAAAATGGTCGAGTACAGATGAGTGACGTTGCGAGAGTACCCTCCAAAGGGTTTCAGTGGGTCCAAGGTTAGGGTGATCGCAACTGAGATGTTCACTGGGCCTGAGTCCTCGAGGGCCTGCGGGGACTGGGTGGACACTCTGGCCTGCCCGCTGGTCACTGTGCTCTCCGGAGTCGTGGTGTCATTTGTGAGGTGCTTCAATGTTTCGTTCTCTGATACACACAAGTCCAAATCGTTAAACCGCAGCAGAAATGTATTCCAATCCTGCAGCATAATGAAACAGAAGGAAATGAGTGTGAGCAGTCTAAAAGCGCCGCCACCGCACCCTACAGCCATGACCTCTAGGTAGTGTCACAGGGCCACAGAGTTAATCACTGAAAATAACAATGACAATATAGCCATCAGCATCTTCTTGCATTGGTATAATAGTGCTGGTTTTCCAAACCACCCGCATATTCACAATCTAAAATGTGAACTATTCACTAGTATGAGATATTAAATAAAATAGGAGATTAAACCTACTTATTCAAGAAAATGTGTAAAAAAAAAAACAAAATAGCATATTATACTTACAGAAAATGATCTAGCTTAAGAACCAAACTTAAAAACGAAGCTTGACTCAAAGTAATAAAACATTAAAAGCATTAATCCAAACTCAATAAGCAGTTATGATTATTTTTATTTTTTAAAAGATTTTATTTTGAGCACAACGTGGAATGGCACTCAAACTCACAACCCTGAGATCAAGTTGCCCACTTCACCGACTGAACCAGCCAGGTGCCCCATGTTCGTTTTTTTAAATGAGGCTGCGTTGGAGCACCCAGCTGGCTCAGTCGGAAAAGCATGTGACTCTTGATCTCGGTGGGAGTCCTGAGTTTGAGCCCCACGCTGGGTGCCGAGATTAAATAAATAAAACTAAAAACAGATAAATAAATAAGGCTGCCTTAAAATAATTCCTCAAAAGGTCAGTTCTATACATCTTACTTTCTCTCAGTAGAATTTAAAAGTTCAGTCAATACCAATGTTCACATGGTCCATTTTCCCCCTTGTCATGGACTTTGAAACATAACCACCTTAGGAAAAGTTTCAAAAAGGACGAGAAAAGATGTTTTCAGGCATATCTTAATATCTGTCTTGATGGTTTAAATCATAAGCAATTTTAAAAACACATAAGGCTGATAATGTCATGATTAACCTGAAAGCAACATAGTAAAGTACCCACCTAGTTCTATTTTAATTTAATTTTCACAGAAACACAGAGATGAAGTCAGGCTGAAATGGCAACCACAAACTAGCCTAGGCTGTCACATTAACTTCTTTCTCCATGCAACATTAATCTCCAAAAAGTTGCCAAATGTGAAGACAAACCAAGTCACATTCCCAATTACTTTACACCAGCCTTGACTAAAAATGCTACGAGGTATCCCTGGCCTTCCTTCAGGGAGTTGGATCTGAGGCTCAATCTCCCATCCCCTTATCAGGCTACCTCTTGAAAAAACCCTTTCCTTGCTGCATTAAAAAAAAAAAACAAAAAAAAAAAACAAAAAAAACAGCCATCTGAGCAACCCTCAAGTAGTCAAGAGAGTCTACCTTTTTTCTTTTTTTTAAAGATTTATTTATTTTATTCAGAGAGAGAGAGAGACTGAGAGGCAGAGACACAGGCAGAGGGAGAAGCAGGCTCCACGCAGGGAGCCCGACGTGGGACTCGATCCGGGTCTCCAGGATCACACCCCAGGCTGCAGGCGGCGCCAAACCGCTGCGCCACTGGGGCTGCCCAAGAGAGTCTACCTTTAAAGCATTGGTGTGTATGGCATTTAGTAAGACTGCAACTAGATATACCAAATTATGGTTCTCCCCAATCCCACAAACTTAGACTACTCAAAAACATTAGGTTTGGAAATGAACATTCTAGTCTCGGATCCCTTCAGATTCCAGACATGAGAGAACTGAGGCCCAGAGCAACTTTATGGATCCCCTAATTCCACAGTTGAAAGCAGAAGCAGGATTAAGTTTCTTGATTCACAGCCCCAAGCTTTTCCCATATTCCGAAGATCCTCATTTGAAAATAAAATCACTAAGTTAATCATAACTAGAGTTCTGCAGCAGCTTGTTGCTGCTTTCCTGGCGACCTCAAGTCCATTCTGGACAGTCAGCTGAAGCCAATGTCAAGGCCACATTTTGACTATTAAGGACTAATTATCCAAGTTACTTCTTAATCACTTGCCTTGGCCAAGTGTTCAACATGGCCTTGGGCTCTAAGGGAAAGCAATGCCAGGATGCTGCAGAGCCCTGGTTGTGACTAGAATATTCATTTCCAGTACTAATGTGGGTGCAGCAGCCTATTTGCACAGCCTTTAAAGATTCAGGCAGAGTCAGAAAAGAGGGAGAACTGAGCCAGCCAGTATGTTTCTTGGTTAGAAACTCTTTAAAAGGGTTTCATGGCAGAAATAGCTAAAGCTCATTACCTAAACTGTGTGAGAGAGTTCACTCGTGAAGGTGGTCCCTCCTGCCAAGGTATTCTAGGATTCAGAATACCACAGAGAAAGCCCTGATCCCCCTGACACTGAGTAGGACCCTCCCCTCAGGCACAAGGCACACACAGCGCAGGAACAGTGTGATCTCAATCTCCACCCCCATTCCCACTCCCACCGAGGCACACAGCCAAGAAGAAAAAGGATAAGAGAAGGCACTCCAGGAATCTAAGGCAGGAACTCACTTGTCCTAAAAGAAACCGTGCCCACCAGTAACTTTACCATATCATTAATTCAGCATAATTTCTAACATGTAAAATACATTTATTAATAGGTACATTTTTAATGTTATTACCTATTATTAATAGGTACATTATCATTCCCTACATTAGCAATACCCTAATAATTTACTTAAATGACCACAATGTAAAATCTAGAAGGCAAGATTGTAGGTAACTGAAGTTCAGCTTAATAAAAAAAGACAAATATATGTGGAAATAAGACTGAGCTTTCTATTTCTTTAGTATTCCTTCTCAGGCAATGATAAAACTATCATATTGGTATAGCTAATAAAACTCCATGAAGAAAAAAAAAAAAAAACCAAAAAACTCCATGAAGACATATGGCTTCAAGAAAACAAATGTCTACAGTTTTTAAAAATAGCAATTAGCTAACTTAAGACTTTAATAATAAATTTATAATTAATTTAATAATAGCAAATATGTTAGTTCTCTATGTTCTTGACACAATTTACAAATATACTTTCCAAAATACATTATTTCATTACTGAAAGTCTGAAACTGGCAGCATTGCTTGTCTGACCAGATACTAACAAAGAGAGTCACAGGGAGATGGAAGACAAAAGATTCTGAAAAAAATGCTTGCTTCTTCACTAGGTTAGAAAGAAAGGTGTGTGGAGCGCCCAAGGGTATTCTCCGACTGTCAAGGTCTGGCCAGCCTGAGAGGACCAAGAACATACATACCTCTGCCATTTCCGGTGACTTAATCTCCTTGATTTTGAAGAAATAGCCCAAGGTCAGGAAAGCTATTGCCATGGCGCTGACACTGATCATAAAGACCACGAGGGGAGGCCGGCTGCTGATGTACAGCTTCAGGTTCTCCAGGGGGTTGATGCTGAACATTATTCTGATCAACTCCACCTGAAAGGGATTAATCGTTAGACTTACAGATTGACTACCCCAAAGAAACCCTATGATCCCTACTGTTGTTTCCTTTAATGGCGCTGGAGGGTGACGAGGTCACTCACCACTGAACTTGAGAAACGTTTAATCCACTCCAAAGACAAAGGAAAAAACACAAAATGTGAACTGTCACTATGCCAAAGTGGTAAGATCTTAAAAGCTATGCATTTCCCTCTTTCCATTTAAATCTTCTAATTATTCTACAATGAACACTTGCTGTTTCCATAAAGACTATTATAATAGCACTTGCTATTTCCGCTTAAGATAATGCTGAGGTAGGTCCGTCATAGGACACAAATGCATGCTAACACGTACAGAAGGAAAGCGAGGGTGTTCTCATTTCCTACCACTGAAGGGTTCTGTCCTGTTCACTGCTGCCCTCACACCCAGCCCAGCAATTGGCACAGAAAGACACGTGATAAACGCTTAATTGTACCATTCCCCTGCTTAAAGCCCACCGCAGGCTTCCCGTAGTACCTAGGATAAGACTAGGGACAGCTCCATCACGGCCCACAGGGTTTCAGGACCCAGAAGCCCCACCAGCTCAACGACTACATGTCCAGCAACTTCCCGTTCTCCCTCACTGGGCTCTGGCCACACTGGCCTTGCTATTTTCTAGGACCAACTTGTCATGGTCTGCAAGGAAGTCAGCTGGGACTTGCACGGGGACTGTACTGAATCTATAGATCAGTTTGAGGAATACTGCCTTCTTAACAATACTGTCTTCCAGTCTGAGAACCTTCCCATTTTTTTCAGATTTTCTCTAATTTATTCCAAGCAGTTTTGTAGCTTTCAAAACATATGTTTACACTTTTTTTGCCAAATGTATTCCTAAGTATTTTATTCCTTTTAGGATTTTTGGACATGTTCTACATGAAGGCATTGCCCCAAAATTTCCATGTGCTGGCTCTTCTTAAAATGCAGGTTTCCACTCAACAGCCAACTCCTCAGAGAGGCCTTCCCTGACTACCCTCAGCCCCCACCTCTCAGCACTCTGCTTTAATTCTTTCATACTGGTTAGTGCCAGTCAAGAATACAACCAATTTTCTACTTGTTTGCTGTTTCTCATCCCTGGTTTCTGAGCTCTATGACAGCAGTAACTTTTCCAATCTTCTTCACTGCTATAGCTCTAGTCCCCAGCCCCTAGAACAGGAGCTGACACATATGAGCAATTATATATATGAACAGATTATAACACTAAAAAAAAGCAACTAAAAAATATCTAACAATTTTTTTCAAAGGTTTTATTTATTTATTCATGAGAGACACAGAGCGAGAGGCAGAGACGCAGGTAGAGGGAGAAGCAGGCTCCATGCAGGGAGCCTGATGCTGGACTCGATCCCAGGACCCCGGGATCACACCGAGCCAAAGGCAGATGCTCAACCGCTGAGCCCCCCAGGTGTCCCTGTAACAACTTTTAAATTTAAGAGGGAAAAGGTTCATCAACACCCTCTAAGAACTAACAGCAACACTTGCAATAAGCCAGGCTGTGTATTCCTTCATCCTTACAAGTGTCCTGTGAAATGGAAAATAATATCCTTTGTATTCTTCCCAGAGCAACATCCACGCATGTTTTGTGTTTACCACAGACAGCTCTCTCTATATATATCCAGATACAGTTACTGGTATTGCATATGGAAACTTGTAGAAAATGATACATTGAATATATTCTTGTGCTTTCACTCAACATTCTGTTTCTGAGTTTTATCTCTGATCTATGTAGATCAATCTACTGAATTTACCTGCTATATAGTATACAACTGTTTTCCTGGACGGAGGAGCCCAGCAAGGTTCTTCCCAGTTTCCTCACCAAGGCCCTGCAGCAGGCACAAGAGTGGCTCTAGGTCACAGGGTGGGCCCATCAGCAACCTAACCTGGTCATGTAAGGCAGCTCTCCAAGGAAGTCCTACCAGCAATGAAAAGGCTTGCTCCATTTCCCAACATTCATACCAACACTTGATAATCTAAAGCAAATCTTATTGATTTGGACCAACAAGATCGATGTGAAATGTTATATTATTTTAAATTGCATCTCCCTCAAACTGAGTTTCTTTATCAGCCATTTAGGTTCTTCCTAAGTAAACCGCCTGAATCTTTGGCCACTTACTAGTTAAGATGCTTGTCTATGTCTTATTAATGTTCAGGAGTTCTTTTTATATTCAGGATACTAAGGCTTTTCCAGTTTTTTTACATGTAACTACTTCAAGTCGGTGGATTTCCTTTTATATAGTTTATGGTATCTTTCTCCATACAAAAGGTTCTTGATTTTTTAAAACGGCTTTGATATATAATCACATACCACACAATTCATCCATTCAACATGTACAATTCATAGAATTCGGCAACCGTCACTATAATCAATTTTCAAACATTTTATCTCGTAAAGAAACCCCACACTCTCTAGCAATAACCCCCTATTCTCTCTCCAGCACGAAGGCAACTGCTAATATACCTTGTCTCTACAAATTTGCCTATTCCAAACCTGTCAAATGAACGGAATCATAATACAAGGCCTTTGGTGACTGACTTCTTCCACTTAGCATGTTTTCAAGGTTAATTCATGTTGTAGCACATAGTGGTACTTCATTCCTTTTTGTTGCCAAAAATATTCCATTGTATGAAATGTCTTATACATACATTTTTGCTTATCCATTCATCAGTTGATAAACATTTGTTTCCACTTTTCATCTATTATAAATAATGTTGCTACGCACATGCATGTATAACATCTTGTGTGGACATAATTTCCATTTCTCTTGGCTGCATCTGTTATATATATCCTAAGAGTGGCACTGCTGGATCTTACAGTAACCACATGTTTAACCTTTTGAGGACCTGCCAGGCTATTTCCCAAAGCAACTGCCCTCCTTTGCATTCTTGCCAGCTATATAATGAGTGTTTCAATTTTTCCACCACCTCACCCACACTCACCTTTCTCATTAGAGTCATCCTAATGGGTGTGAGGTGGTACCTCACTGTGGTTTGATTTGCATTTCCTCGACAGCTGTAAGTTCTTGATTTTAATGTATTTAAATTTATCACCCTTTTCATTTTAATGATTATGTGCATGTATATATTATTTAAGAATCCCTTTGGTATCTTTAGATGTCAAAAAGGCTTATTTTCATTATTTTCCTCTACAAGTCTTATAGTTTGACTTTTAGTCTCTTATCTATTTGGAATTAATAATTAATTAATCTGGGATTCCAGAATCTAGTAGGTTTCTGGTTTAGTCTTTTTCTAGACAGGCGGCCAATTGTCCAATACCACTGAACATGGTTTTGTATTGAACATGGATTTCCCATGGATTTATAATGCTCTCTCTGATATACACCAAGCTCCCACATAAATGTGGGTTTATTTCTATTTTTTCTTGTGTCCCATCACGATATCTGCATCTCCCCACCTAGTACTATGCTGTCTGAAACCCTGCTAATACAAGAAGTCTACCATTGTACTTTTATCCAAAATTGCTTTAGCTATTCTTGGTCCTTTACCCTGCCAAATGAATTTTAGGTTCTAACTGTAAAGTTCCCAGAAAAAATCCTGTTGAGATTTAAACTGGAATTGCACCAAACAGACTATCAATTGGGGAAGAAATGACATCTTTACAACACTAAGTTCCCTAATCTATGAACAGGGTATCTCTCTCCATTTATTTTGGTCCACTTTTTTAAAACTTCCTCCTATGCCTCTTATTAGATTGACTCAAAGACATACTCAAAGACATGATTTATGCAGCTATCATTAATAGCATCTCCTAAAAATTACATTTACTATTGTTTATGTATACAAAAGCAACAGGCTTACTGCTGAAATCTTTTAAATTCTAATTAGGCTATTTGTAGCTTCTCTTGGATTTTGTGTAGACAGTCACACTGCAAGCTAGGAAGTGTTTCTTCCTTTCCAGCCCCAATTTCATTTCTTTTTCTTATGACTTTGACTAGAATCTTCAGTGAAATGATGAATAAAAGTGGCAATAGCAGATTCCTACCTTTAAAGAAAACGCTTCTAAATCCTTCACTGATTAAATACAGTATACGTTAAAGGTTTCTTTTTTTTTTTTTAAAGATTTTATTTATTCATCAGAGACACACACAGAGAGAGGCAGAGACACAGGCAGAGGGAGAGAGAAGCAGGCTCCCTGCAGGGAACCTGATTTGGGACTCAATCCCAGCACTCTGGAGATCATGACCTGAGCCAAAGGCAGACACCCAACCACTGAGCCACCCAGGTGCCCCCCCCCCTTTTTTTTAATATTAAAGGTTTCTGAAAGAAACCCCTCAGCAGGTTAAGAAAGTACTCTTCCGTTTCAAGTTTGCAGGGAGACTTTGATAATAAACAAGTGTTGCATTTTAATGACTGCTTTATCTACAACTTTTTTTTAAATAAATTAATTTTATTGGTGTTCAATTTACCAACATACAGAATAACACCCAGTGCTCATCCCGTCAAGTGTCCCCCTCAGTGCCCGTCACCCATTCACCCCCACCCCCCGCCCTCCTCCCCTTCCACCACCCCTAGTTCGTTTCCCAGAGTTAGGAGTCTTTATTATCTACAACTTCTTAATCAATTTTTTCTCTTTAATCTGTTGACATGAACTATGCTGATTTTCTCCTGCTGACTCATATTTGCATTCCTCGGATAAACTTAACATGATCATAATTTTTTAAAACTATATTACTGACACAGGTTTGCCAAACTTTATCCGGACTTTTTAACTGGACTTATGAATAGATATTCATAAGTGAGATAAGAAAATGATCAGCCCCAATCATACTCTCCTTGACTAGCAGGATCAAGTCATCCGAGTATCATAAAATTAACTGTCCAGACATGCATTTTCTAGAACATGTATATTAGCTTTTATTTCTTAGAAGCTTGACAGATCTTGACCCAAAAAAACATCTGGGTTCAAGTTTTTCTTTGGTTTTGTATCTGGGTGAGTTATCTTGACT